GCTAACTCACAAGTCGGACTGTTTCTGTGCTGCTGCGAGCGCCATCATATGTTGAACCAGAAGCTGTTGTGCGCTGAATTGTGGCAAGAACTGTCCAAGAAACAATGGATTTAGCGGCGAAGCGCATGGCGCTCCTCCAAACTGCTCCGCATCGCCGCTGCACGGCTGATGTTGATCTAGAAGTGGCTGATCATCCTTTGCACAAGAAATTATGAAATTTTTTTTCGTACCTTCAAACTTTTCACGTTTCGCAGCCCATTCTTCTACGGCTGAAACGCGCTTTGGAGGGCGACCGGGACGAGTGCTAAAGTTATATATCAACTTGTTTTCCGTCGTCTTTTCGTCCACTACGATCTATTCTTACCAAGTATTGGTGCAGTCATCATAAAGGCGATCAAAATCCGTAGCTGCGATGAGCTTGCAACGATTCACTCCAGGTTGTATGGCATTTTTGCTGCGTAGAGCTCGAACCTGTATCAGCACCTTGATTAGAGGATGTACCAGGGGGTCCCAGCACGAGTACCCGCGATGTTGCACATCAATGTTTCGCTCACCTGTTCAACATTACAGATGATCGGCGTTATTTCAAGACGCTTGAGCTTAGTATAAACCGTATGTAATCCGCCAACCATATTTTTCAGGAATAACTCATAGACCTACAAGTGCAAATTTTCACTGTGGACTGAATAGTATTGTCAGATGCCAATATCGTGCTACCCTCTCCATTATATGCTGGTCGTCGCACGCAGAGATTGGTGCCGTTGCGGATACTGTCGGTGTCTCTGTTTCGTTTTCTTACCGTCTGCTGTCTCTTCCAAACCCGAACTATCTCGTTGCGACGGGAGCGTCTAGTCTCTGCTTGCGGTGACTCACCCATAACGAGACCGTACTCTTGACTACGGTACCGACGCCCAACATGATTGGGTAGCACGACTATGCAAACGGTAGGCAAACGGCGTACCTGTGGTAAGCATAACATATCGGTCCCGCGAAGATCAAAACCAACAACAGTATGTCCGCGGTAGTTAATCTCTTTGGGTATAGCTGGCTCGTTGGGATCAAATGGTGAGAACTCCTGTGGGATTATCGAGGATTGACCTGGAAGTTTCGTTTTGATTTTCTGCCAAAATCTTAAACTGCTGTTCTACTGAGAAACTTCAAAATCATAATCTCACTTATCAGAGAGAATTTTCCATAAAAATAGACTCATGCGTATCAAATTATAGAATACCGATTCGCTTACCGTAGCTTTCATCGGAATTCATTTGGCTGTCAACAACTTCTTGTTTAATTACAGGGAATGCGACTAAGTAGCGAAACATGGTGGGTAGTTGATATCAGTTTCCTTCTCAGGAAATATGACAGGGCAGGGGTAATCGCCCAGATCGCTGGGTATTACCGCAGAAGTTAAGCAATCAAAGTGATTGCTTTGGGCGTAGATGCATAATTCGGTAATGTCGCGTTTGAATGGGGTAAGCCTCTAAGACAAATCCGGAAAAGATTCCGTATAAGCTAGTGTGCTATTAGTAGGCGATGAAGATAGGGTAGTAAAGTTTTTGATGCTAATGCAAATGTCTCAGAGATACCATTAATGTAATTACTCCCTTTAGTAGCGAGAACGCAAATGCTAAGGCTGCGTCCGTAGTCATCTGTGCCAGCGCCACCGATCGATCAGTACGCGGGGCACCCAAGTGGTGCTGACACGGCACTGGCATGGCGCCGGCACATAGGCAACTTTGGAAGTAGCCTAAGGCAGTGTCACCTGCTTTCAGCAACTGATTTACCAAACACAGCCCCACTGTAATACCCAGGATTTTTTTCAACTCTTTTATAGTCAAAGCGACAATGCCGACGGACATTTAACCTTCAGATCTAAAAAAATCCAAATGACTTACTTGACGATTCGCTACCATCACGCACAGATGCGGCGATGCCACTATCGGAATCGAATGACATCAATGC